TATTGGGGGTTACCAGAAAGGAAGGGGTGAGTAGGTGTAGCACAGAGGATTTCTAGGGCAATGAAACACTCGTTTGATACGAATACGTTGGATGCATGACATTACACATTTGTTCAAATTCACAGAATATACAACCTCAAGAGTGAACCTCAATGTAAACAATGGAGGGAAGAGATTTGCCTTGGTAGGAGGCCTGGGGCTCCAGAGGCCACACAGGATGTCCTTAAGAGCAGCTGAGCGTAACCAGAGCGCCTGGCTCAGCCTCTCTAAGTTCCACAACCTGAGGCAAGCTCTTCACCTCCCTGGGCCTCGGTTTCCTTGTGTGGAATTGGAATGATAACAACGCCTTGTCAGTGTCTTTAGAGCAGTGAGCATGGCACTGCTTGATTATGATCATGTTATGTGGAAAGTGGAAGGCAGGAGGCCCATGTGAATATGGGGACGGATTATTGAGAGAGGAAGAGAAGGCACATAAGAAAGAAAACTCCTCTCAGCTGGCCTCAGTACTTGCCTTCCACAAAGTAAGAATCAAGGTCAGTGTGGGAGAGCGAGGCCGCACAGTTCAGGTGGGGCCATGGAGGTGTCCCTACAGTGAAGCACAAGTGAAAAGACCTCTCGTTTGCATCACTGGCCTCCGCTGACATCTTTTGTCCATGACCCCCTTCACCCATGACCCTCACGGGGAACATGTGATTTGTGTCCAGTAGTAGTAAGGACCTGGGTCCACCTTGTTGGGCTACCTCTGATTCCTGGGCCTTCAGCCACCCATGGATATGCCAAAATGTTCTCTTCTGTAAAATGAAGACATGATTCTTCTGAGATAAGGGTCAGTCAGATGCTTTCAACAGGTTCACTAGTTCTGAGACCTAGGAACATATTACTCTCCTGTTCCTCCTGATGAATGCTGACACCCACTCAGCAGCTGGCTGGCCAGAATCACAGACATACATCATTGGTTATACTCCAGCCAGCTAAGCTGGGCAACTAGCATGATCTATTAGAGTGAAAATCCTCATATCCGTAAATACATCATAGCACCACTGAGCAGGCATGAAGCATGAACCTTAGGAAAAAAAAAAAAAGTAGCTTTCTTTTAAAATCACAAACAGAACAAATTTCTTCTTTCTTGCTGTTTTGATTAAAGAAATAACATAGCAACTAATACTGTACATCTGATATATTACTCACAGGTAAGCAGATTCATGATTGCTTAAGAAACTTCAATCCAATTGTCTAAATTGCTCTTATTCCACATCAAATTTAATTATTCGTATTTGCTAAATTCTATGCAATGTAAATGTCCCAAGCTGCATAGAATTAAAATGAAAAACCCATAAAACAAATGGGCATGACACGTATAGGCAGTCAATTAAAAACAGTTATTTAATACAGTATCTGCTATATGCCTGAAAATTCAATGCAGAAAGAAAAAAATAGCTAACACATTTTAAGATGCTCAGTTTTGAAGAAAAATTTAAATAAATTGAACATAGTATTTCCATTTCTATGACACTGAAATGCTTTTAATAGTTTGAGAGAAGTTCATCTGTAGTTTTAATAAACTGATCCTTTTATGAGAATATAAATGGCATTAGATGCTGAGTCTCATGGCATACATAAAACAGAACATTATTTTAAAGTATGAACTTCAAAGAGATCAACACTAAACTGCTAGTATTAACATTACTAGTATGTTATTTTTAAGTGAATTATGGATTATTTCCCTGGTAGAGTACATTTAAAGTGTGAATTGAATTAATTGGGTGTGCCTTCCTATTTTAAGACAGTATTTTAAGACAATCAGTATTGGTAATAAGATATTGAATTAAAATGGTGAAATACAACTTAATTTTAAAGCACCATTAAGGGTCTTTACAAATTAACTAAATGCTCATGATTCCCTCCCATTCATGCTCTCCACCATCTCCTAAAATCAGCACCTCCCAAAGTCAGCTCCAATTCAGTGCTCAGACACAAAGCCCCAAGGCACCCTTGATTTTATGCTCTCACGCTTCAGATCCAAGCCAGCAGTGAGTCCTGCTCTCTCTCTGCCTTCCACTCCTTCTCCACTTTCAACTCCTACTCCCCCAACTACTGTCTCTATCTCATCCAACTTCTGCCTTCCAGCTTCTTTTTTTTTTTTTTTTTTTTTTGAGACAGTTTCACTCTGTCACCCAGGCTGAAGTGTAATGGTACAATCTTGGCTCACTGCAACCTCTGCCTCTTGGGTTCAAGCAATTCTCCTGCCCCAGCCTCCTGAGTAGCTGTGATTACAGGCACCTGCCACCATGCCCTGCTAATTTTTGTATTTTTAGTAGAGACAGGGTTTCACCATATTGGCCAGGCTGGTCTCGAACTCCTTACCTCAAGTGATCTGCCCCCCTTGGCCTCCCAAAGTGTTGGAATTAGAGGCGTGAGCCACCTCGGCCTGGACGCCTTCCAGCTTCTATCTTTACCTTTCACTTCTGCTCCTCTCCACTTACAATCAGTACCACTAACTCCTTCTCTCCTCCACCTGATATCTCTACTTTCAACTCCTGCTCTCCCTACTTGTAATCTCCACCAGCACCATAAGACACACACACCACACACAGAAACACACACCACACCCAGAAACACATACCACCACCATCACCATAACCTCTGTCTCCACCACCACCGTCCCCATCACCACCACGCGGCAGTTCTTGGTCTGTAAAATTTCTAAAGCCCTGCACAGAAAACACTGTTGGGGTCCTCTACCAACAAGCAGTCAGTGTTCTTTGGTTAAGCCGATGTGACTCTGAACAAAGCACCCTCTCCATTGTCCGAGTCTCTGGGCTGGGCTTCTCCTGTCCCCATCTGGAATACATCTGAAAGTGAAATGGACCTCAGGGAACACACCCCACTCCCCCCCGGGAGACATACAGGTTCCTCAACTTCCTTCCTCCTCATCCTCATGGAAGGTCGGGGACCAAGGATTGTTTTAGGTTAAGGACAGTATGGGCTTTTCTTACCTTGATTTCCTTGGCAGTAGAACTCCATCAAAAACTCAGTAGACTTCCAGTCCGTTTGCTCACAGTCAGTTCCGTGCATCCACAGCTCACTTAGCGAAGCTCTCAGATTCCTTTCTTTGCTTTCCATTCCCATTTCTCATCTCTCACTCTCAGGTCAAAGATACCCTCCCTAGGCTGCAGAGCTCTGGTGGAAAGGCCGCACCTGTAATCTATTCTTTCAGACATTCAGTCAGATTACAGGTGTTTAAAAATCTCAACCCTTAAATCTGTGGGCTAAAAGTAGTTTTATTTCACACTGAGAGATCCAAATTTCTGGCTCTCTGTGTTTTTTATTTCCTTTTACAAATAAGCTGATCTGTCTGTATAAGCTCACCCTCTTTCTTGTAATGCATTATCACAATGAACCTATATTGACCCAAACAAGCTACATTGTCCTGATTAAGTGCAAGAAGGGCTGGGCTATATTGAGAACACACACACATACTCAATGATCCACACAGCTGGTTGTCAAATTACTTTCCTAAATGTCCTTATCAATTCACACTTCTTCCAGCAGTAGGTAAGAGATTGCCTATCTGTATTCTTCATGCATTTATCATTGGCTTTATCATTTCCTTTTTTGCTGTTATTCTCACAGGTCTGTACAACAAACTTTAAGCTCCCCAAGGATTGGAACCATGTCTTCCTAATTTTTATGCTTCCAACTACTGGTAACTGAAATATACTTGAATGTTGATATAATGAATGTATCTAAATAAATGAATGAATGGTAGGATTACTCATCTGTTTTCAGTGTAAAAATTTATGAGTTCCAAGAATGCACATATCAAAGCACCTACCCCAAGACTTTGATCTTAACAAAGCTTTTCTATAACCTTCCTCAGATCTCTTGGAAAACTGTGCTTTTGTGACTTTAGCCGGAATAATAGCCAATCAACAAAAAGTAATTTCCAGCCCCATCACCCTCACCACAGCTCCATCGTTTATGAAGCAGCTGAAGCAAATCAATTCAGCACTTCATATTTCAGTTCTTTCCCCTGTATAATGAGAGATGGTACCCAGTGGACATGAATAACCAATAGAAAGCAACTGGAACGCAGAGAACTCAATGTATGCTAATAAAGTCCAGGTGATTTCTGTATATGGGAAACATTTTAAGTAGCTGCCACAATTTTATGTCTAAAAGCAGAGTGAGTCATGCTTCAGGAAGAACTAATGGACCTTAACGAGAATCTGAGGAGCACACCTCCCTGACAGTGACCTCCCGATCTGTAGAAAGACAATCTCTCTCTCTCTTTCTCTCTCTCTCTCTCTCTCTCTCTCTCTCTCTCTCTCTCTGTCTCTCTCACCTCAAACTCTACTACTCCAAATTAGGATCCAATCCCTCACATGTGTACTTTACCACTTACATTTGATCTTTAAAATCACCCCATAGGCCAGGCACGATGGCTCACCCCTGTAATCCCAGCACTTTGGGAGGCTGAGGTGGGAGGATCACTTGAGGTCAGGAGTTCGAGACCAGCCTGGCCAATATGGTGAAACCCTGTCTCTACTAAAAATACAAAAATTAGCCAGGTGCAGTGGCACACACCTGTAATCTCAGCTACTCAGGAGGCTGAGGCAGGAGAATCACTTGAACCCCGGAGGCAGAGGTTGCAATGAGCCGCGATTGTGCCATTGCACTCCAACCTGGGAGATAGAGTGAGATTGTCTCAAAAAAAAAAAAAGAAAAAAAAAATCGCCCTATATGGGCAATGTTTAGATTAGATCATAGGCAAAGTGGGGATAAATAAAATTCCCAAGTCACAATGTCGTCATCAGGATCACAATCAGCCGAGATATATGCAATACCAAGTGCAATGCTAGTGTAATGTTTGTGGGGCACTGTATTATTTCCAATCAGTAAAGACTATTAAATTAAATTAAAATTAATTAAATAACTATCAAATTTTATTAAATGCATATCAATAAACTTGTGTTGACAAATACATTTAAGCTGTGTTCAAGCCATGCTGAATTCTTTATTAGCAAATAATCAAAAATATTTTCCACAGTGGAACATTATTAAATGAAAGTAAAACATGTTAAGAACTAGTATTGCCATAAACATATATGCAACAGTAGAAACTAATCATATGTATACATGTGTTTGTTTCAGTATTCTGAGTAGGATACATATACAACATTAATTTTACTAGAGATTAAAGTGGATGAAATGTATCTTTATGAATGTATATACATCTGCAAACAACCATGCTAAATACATGGAAGTTAAGAATTTTCATTGGCCATTTATTCAGTCGCTTGAGAGTTATCTTCTATTTCTTCGAATTTTACAAATTCCTTGATAAATTTCCAAAGGCCCCTTAAAATACAAAAGAAATGAATACCATAGGTTAGAAAAAAAAATACATTAAGCATGAAAGAAAATTTCAAAATAAACATCTATTTTAGACACATTTACCCAAAAACAGAAAAGATGAGACTTCGTAATCATTTACTTTTTAAAAACATATTTGTATGAAGTTTTGGCCTTGAATGTAACAGATCCTCTAAATAAATAGATGTATTCTCCTGTAGCATATGGTATGGCAGCGAAGGTATGTGTACCATGAGCATAATGATAGACTTTAGTTCCATTCACTCTCATTGCCAAGGCTGTGTGAGGTGCTTCCCCAGCTTTGTATTTGTAACTCTATTCCCTCTTTTTAAGAACATCCTACATGATACAAGAAACCGCAAAACCTCCATCGACCTATACGACTCACTCAGCACTCTATCCAATCTCTTTCTCCCATGGCTTTTTCTGCCCCATAAGCTGGAGAGTGGGGTGCTCCATGTTCTGGCCTCTCTTACAGCTGAGAGTGGACTTGACCCATGGTGCTGGCCAATGAGATGTGGTGGGAGCACCTGGAGAGAATTGTCCTTCCTGAATAAACTGGAAAGCCTCAAATTGAGAAGCTCTTTGCCTTCTGTCCTTCACCTTTCCCTTTCTTAACCCATGGAATGCAGACTGGTTAATGTCTGAAGACAGCCGTATTGAGACTCTAAGGAGGCAGCAGCCATACTCAAAGGAACGCAGAGAAGACAGGTGAGGAGCCCTAGTTCCTTAATGATGTCATTGAGCCCAAGCCACCTACACCTAAAAGTCCTTTTCCTGCTGATTAAAAAAAAAAAAAAAAAGCCTTTCCCTCTTTAAATCAACATATGGTTTTCCATTGCTCTTAATACCAAATTCTGAGATTCAAACTATAGTACCAATTCAGAGAAAAGTAACTGTGTGAAGTATAAGCTTGTAATATAAATAAGTTTATACCAATATTATAAGTTTAGTTATAAACAAATGATATAAATCAGCCGCTTACTTTTTAAACTAAAAATTTCAGAGTAATATATGTATAGGGGTTTTCAAAATGTATCATCACTAAAAGCCATATAATTGGAGAAAATAAAGCCATGCCTTCCTACTTTCCTGATTCCTGGCCATGAGAATTCACCTTTACCTCCAACTTACTAATTTATTTCTATATTATTAAAGGGTACAGATTGAGGTCTAAATCTTAGAGTGACCATTCCAAAGCATGGAAAAAGGATGCAACATGTGTATTTAATGTAAGCATTCATGAGTGTGAACCCTTCAAAGGCCTGTCTAGTCTAATTTAGTTTTGAATAACTGATCTTGAGAACAGCATGATACTACTCTAGTTCTTTTATCATGATGTCAATACTTACTCCTGCCCCTCTTCACTGATTCTTCCCATGGTCTGCTTCATATTGCTTTCAATAACCTACAAAGAATTATCATCATTGGGTCATGCTTATTACATAGGACAAGCAGGCACTAGAGGAAATATTTTTATTGATAAACATTGATTCACAAAAAAACTTACTTTTATTTTCTTCTTCAAAATCGTATTTTCTGTTTCAAATTTTATAACTTCTTGCTGGAGGAGAAGTGGTTTGAAAAGCAATATACTTGGTTAAAAATATTTGTTAACTATTTTTCTCTATTTAACAAGATTATGTGAATAATGTTATAATTTCAAGAATACTCAATAGCACACTACTTAAAAACAGATGAAGAAACAAAGCATAAAATGAAGGACAGTTAATGAGAGGGAAACATCCTGGTCCTCTGGATAAAAAACCAGAAGAGGTGGAATTAATGTTTCAAAATATCAGAAAATTTTAGAAGAGGAAATTCCAGAAGAGTTCTTTACTTTTCGAAACTAATGATAGAACTTGTTAAGGTGGCTGGAAGAATATAAAAATACAAATATCAATAAATCACACATATATCAGCAATAACTGAGTGTAAGCTGTAATGGGAATTTTTTAAATTACTAGTTATAATAGTAATACATTCCAGAAACTCTTAAGAATAAACATAATTATTTTGCACCAAGGTATAAAAATAAATTAAATAAGCACAAAATAATCCCAGATAGGAGTATTAATATTGTAAAGCTGTCACTTCCTCCCAAATGCATTTATGAATTCATTGTAAGCACAATCAAAATACCAAAAGTATTATTATCAAAACTTCAAAAATTAGTCAATAGCGTTAATGAGAATATTCAAGATAATTCTGAACAAAATAATGATGAGCAGAGGGTATAAAGACTTGCTCTTTCAGATATTAGATGTGTTGAAAAGGATTAGCAATTGTAACAGTTTGGCTTAATGGGGTATTATTAAGAACCAAGGCTGAGTTTCAATACTAAGTCTACTGCTTGTTAACTGTGACCTCAATCAAGTTACTTAACATATTGGCACCCCATTTCCATACTTCAAAAACAGAACTAATACTACCATCTATCTGTTAGGGTTGCTGAAAATTAAATGAAATTATATTTTTTTAATGTTCATAAAAGTGTCTGATGCATTGTGAATCCTCAATACATTTAGCTATCTCTCTCTCTTTTTTTTCCTGGCTGGAAATTGCCTATTTCAGGTCTAGAACCAGATACCAATTACATAACAGAATAACAATGGCAATTCTGTTGTATTTTCCAGTATTTGATATTAAGAAGCCAAATATAAATAAGAAGTAAAGTAATATAAATTAGTAATATGGAATCTTCATAGGGAGCTTTCTATTCCTTAGATTTATCCAGCGAGGTTTTAACTATAAAAGAAAAGTTTACATGATTTTGACATTATATCATGCTTTAATATTTAAAGTTAGAGCTTATTACTGTTTAAAAATACAGTTATAAATTGATGGTTGTTCTGAGGGCATTTATTTATTTTTTTAAGAAATAAAAGAGAACAAATCCTAAACAAAAAACACAGAAGAAAACCTTCAGGAATGGGCCAAGATGGCTGACTAGAAGCAGCTGCTGTCAGCAGTTCCCACTGAGAAGAATGAAAATGGTAAGTGACTCCTACACAGCTGAGGTATCCAGGTTCTCTCATTGGGACTGACTAGGTGTTTGGCATGACCCACAGAGAGCAAAAAAAAGCAGGGTGAAGAGATGGCCCACCTGGGAGCTGCAGGGGGTAGGGGAACTTCCACTCCCAGCCAAAGGAGGTGGTGAGTGATGGTGCTATCCTGCCCAGGAAACCATGCTTTGTCCACAGATATGTACAACCTGCAGATCAGATCTCATGAGTCCACACCACCAGGGGCTTGGGTTCCAAGAACAGAACCACTCAGGTTGCCAAGTTCCCTACAGGGAGGGGCAGCCACTATCACTGTGGCTGTCTGCTGCCTAAGACAACAAAGTTCCTGCGGGGAAGGGAGGTAGCCATCACTCCATCTCCAGTCTGCTGTTTTCCCCGGCTGGTGTCAGACAGACTGGACAGTTGGGACAGGGAGGAATTCCGCACAGCACAGCACAGCGGCTTTGGCAGACTGTGGCCAGACTGCTTCTTTAGTTGGGATCTGTATCTATTCCTCCTCACCAAGTGGTGCCTCCCTATGGAAATTTCAGCAACTCCAGCCAGGGGTTTATGAACAGAACTCTGATCTCCCTGGGATGGAGTCCCTGGGGCGAGGGGTTGCTGTGGTCTCTGGTTCAGCAGACTTAGTCTTTCCTGTCTGCTGGCTCTGAAGAGACCAGTCTGGACAAGGGGGATTCCCCCCAGCACAGTGCACCTCCTCCACTAAGGGCCAGACAGAGTGCTCTCTTAAGCAGATCCCTAATCACGTGCCTCCTAACTGGCTGATACTTCCCAACAGGGATCGCTAGACACCTTATACAAATGCATTCCTGTTGTAATTAGGCTGGTACCCCTATGGGACAAAGCTCCCAAAGGAAGGAGCAGGTAGCAATCTTTGCTGTTTTGCAGACTCCACTGGTGACACCTCCAGGTGCTGGAGGGACCCAGGTGAATAGGGTCTGAAGTGGACCCTCAGCAAACTGCAGCAGCCCTATGGAAGAGAGGCCTGCTAAAAAAGCAAACAAACAGAAAGCAACAGCAACAACAACATCAACAAATAAGACCTCAACAAAACCCCATCCAAAGGTCATCAGCCTCAAAAATCAAAGATAGATAAGTGCATGAAGATGAGAAAGAATCAATGCAAAAATGCTTAAAACTCAAAAAGCCTGAGTTCCTCTTCTCCTCAAAATGATCTCAACACCTCTCAACAAGGGTGAAGACCTGGGCTGAGGCTGAGATGGAAGAACTGGCAGATGTAGACTTTAGAAGGTGGGTAATAACAAAATTCACTGAGCTAAAGGGGTATGTTCTAATCCAATGCAAAGAAACAAAGAATGATGATAAAACATTACAGGAGCTGTTAGCCAGAATAACTAGTTTAGACAGGAACATAAATGACCTGATGAAGTTGAAAAACACAACTCAAGATCTTCGTAATGCAACCACCAGTATCAATAGCCAAATAGACCCAGTGGAGGAAATAATCTCAGAGAAAAAAGAATGAAAGGAATAAACAAAACTTCTGAGAACTATGTGATTATATAAAAATACTGAATCTAATTAGTTCAACCACTGTGGAAGACAGTGTGGCAATTTCTCAAGGACCTAGAAATAGAAATTCCATTTGACCCAGCAATCCCTTTACTGGGTATATACCTAAAGAACTATAAACCGTTCTACTATAAAGACACATGCACACATATGTTCACTGCAACCCTGTGTACAACAGCAAAGACCTGGAACCAACCCAAATGCCCATCATTGATAGACTGGACAAAGAAAATATGGTACATATACACCATGGAATATGACGCAGTCATAAAAAATGATGAGTTCATGTCCTTTGTAGGGACTTGGATGAATGTGGAAACCATCATTCTCAGACAGAAAGCCAAACACCACATGTTCTCACTCACAGGTGGGTGTTGAACAATGAGAACATGTGGACTCAGAGAAAGGAGCATCACACACTGGGGCAGTTGTTGGGGGTAGGGGAGAGATAGCAGGGGGTGGGGAGGGATAACATGGGGAGAAATGCCAGATATAGTATGCACCAAAAGTTAAATAACTTTTTTTAAAAAATGCTGAACCTACTGCTAAGTGGCATACTTGAAAGAGACAAGGAGAATGGAAGCAAGTTTGAAAACACACTTCAGTATTTAATCCAGGAGAATTCCCCAACCTAGCAAGGCAGACCGACATTCAGATACAGGAAATCCAGAGAACCCCAGTAAAATACTCCATGAGAAGATCCCAATACACATAATCATCAGATTCCCAAAGGTCAAAATGAAGGAAAAAAATGTTAAGGGCAGCCAGAAAGAAAAGCCAGGTAACCTACAAAGGGAAACCCATCAGACTAACAGCATACCTCTCAGTGGAAACCTTACAAGCCAGAGAGATTGGGGGGGTCAACACTTAACATTCTTAAGGAAAGGAATCTGCAACCCAGATTTTCATATCCAACCAAACTAAGCTTCATAAGCAGAGGAGAAATAAAATCCTTTTTAGAAAAGAAAATGATGAGGGAATTTGTCACCACCAGGCCTGCCTTACAAGAGCTCCTGAAGGAAGCATTAAATATGGAAAAGAAATCCATTACCAGCCACTACAAAAACACACTAAAGTACACAGACCAATAACACCCTGAAGCAACTACATTAGCAAGTATGCAAAATAACCAGCTAGCATCATGATGACAGGATTAAATTAGCACATAATAATATTAACCTTAAATGTAAATGGGCTAAATGCCCCAATCAAAAGATACAGAATGGCAAGCTGGATGAAAAGTCAAGACTCATCAGTGTGCTGTACGCAAGAGACCCATCTTATGTACAAAGACACACATAGACTCAAAATAAAGGGGTGGAGAATAATTTACCAAGCAAATGGAAAGCAGAAAAAATCAGGGGTTGCAATCTTACTTTCTGAAAAAAAGATTTTAAACCAACAAAGATCAAAAAATAAAAAGAAGGGCATTACATAATGGTCAAGGGTTCAATTCAACAAGAAGAGCTAACTATCCTAAAGATACTTGCACTCAATATAGGAGCACCCAGATTTATAAAACAAGTTCTTAGAGACCTACAAAGTCTCTAATAATAATGGGAGACTTTAACACCCTGCTGTCAATATAAAACAGATCATTGAGACAGAAAATTAACAAAGATATTCAGGACTTGAAATCAGCTCTGGATCAAGTGGACCTGATAGATATCTACAGAACTCTCCATCCTCAAACAACAGAATATGCATTCTACTCAATGTCACATGGCACTTACTCTAAAATTAATCACATAATTGAAAGTAAAACACTCCTCAGTAAATGTAACAGAACTGAAATCATAACAAATAGTCTCCTAGACCACATGCAATCAAATTAGAACTCAAGATTAAGAAACTCACTCAAAACCACACAACTACATGGAAATTGAACAACCTGTTCCTGAATGACTCTTCAGTAAATAATAAAATTAAGGCAAAAATCAAGAAATTATTTGAAACTAATAAGAACAAAGAGACATCAAAGAGACAAATATCTCTGGGATGCAGCTAAAGCAGTGTTAAGAGTGGAATGTATAGCACTAAATGCCCACATTGGAAAGTCAGAAAGATCTCAAATCAACATCATAACATCACAACTAAAAAACCAAATTCAAACAAACCCCAAACCAAGCAGAAGACAAGAAATAACCAAGATCAGGGCAGAAGGGAAGGAAATAGAGACACAAAAAATCCCTCAAAAAATCAATGAATCCAGGAGCTGGTTTTTTGAAAAAATTAATAAAATAAATAGACTGCTAGCTAGATTAATGAAGAAGAAAAGAGAAAAGAATCAAATAGACAAAATAAAAAATGATAAATGGAATATCACCACTGACCCTACAGAAATACAAACAACCATCAGAGAATGCTAAAACACCTCTATGCAAATAAACTAGAAAATCTAGAACAAATGGATAAATTTCTGGACACACGCACCCTCCCAAGACTGAACCAGGAAGAATTTGAATCCCTGAATAGACCAATAATGAGTTCTGAAATTAAAGCAGTAATAAATAGTCCACCAATTAAAAAAAAATCCCAGGACCAAATGGATTTACAGCTGAATTTTACCAGAGGTACAAAGAGGAACTGGCACCATTTCTTCTAAAACCATTCCAAACAAAAAGGAGGGACTCCTTAACTCATTTAATGAAGCCCGCATCATCCTGATACCAAAACCAGCATGCACAAGACAAGGATACCCTCTCTCACCACTCCTATTTAACATACCATTGGATGTTCTGGTCAAGGCAATTAGGCAAGAGAAAGAAAGAAAGGGTATTGAAATAGGAAGAGAGAAAGTCAAATCGTCTGTTTGCAGATTACATGAACCTATATCTAGAAAACCCCATCATCTCAGCCCCAAAGCTTCTTAAGCTGATAAGCAACTTCAGCAAAGTCTCAGGATACAAAATCAATGTGCAAAAATTCCAGGCAGTCCTGTACACCAACGACACACAACAGGGAGCCAAATCATGAATGAACTCCCATTCACAATTGCCACAAAGAGAACAAAATACCTCGGAATACAGCCAACAAGAGAAGTGAAGGACTTCTTCAAGGGGGACTAGAAACCACTACTCAAGGAAATCAGAGAGGACATAAACAAATGGAAAAACATTCCATGCACATGCATAGAAAGAATCAATATCATGAAAATGGCAATGTTTCCCAAAGTAGTTTATATGTTCAATGCTATTCCCAATAAACTACCATTAACATTCTTCACATAATTAGAAAAAAAAAGTATTTTAAATTTTATATGGGAACAAATGATCCCTTATAGTCAACACAATCCTAATCAAAAAGAAGAAAGCTGGAGGCATCATGCTGCCTGACTTCAAACTATAGTAACCAAAACAATACAAGCCTACAGTAACCTAAACAGCATGGTACTGGTACAAAAACAGACACATAGACAAATGGAACAGAATAGAGAACTCAGAAATAAGACTGTACACCTATAACCACCTGGTATTTGGCAAATCTGACAAAAACAAGTAATGGGGAAAGGATTCCCTATTTAATAAATGGTGCTGGGAGAACTAGCTATCCATATGCAGAAAATTGAAACTGGACCCCTCCCTTACACCTTATACAAAAATTAACTCAAGATAGGTTAAATACCTAAATGTAAAACACAAAACTATAAGACCCTAGAAGAAAATCTAGGCAATAACATTCAGGATACAAGCATGGCAAAGATTTCATAATGAAAACATCAAAAGCAATTGCAACAAAAGCAATGGGATCTAATTAAACTAAACAGCTTCTGCATAGCAAAAGAGACTATCATCACAGCTAACAGACAACCCACAGAATGGGAGAAAATTTTTGCAATCTGTCTATCTGACTAATGTCTAATATTCAGAATCTATAAAGGACTTAAAGAAATTTACAAAAAAACACAAACAGCCCCATTAAAAAATGGGCAAAGGGCATGAACAGACACTTCTCAAAAGAAGACATGTGCCCAAAAACCATAATTAAAAAAGCTCAGCATCACAGATCATCAGAGAAATGCAAATCAAAACCACAATGACATACCATTTCACACCAGTCAGAATGGCAACTATTGAAAAGTCAAGAAACAACAGATGCTGGCAAAGTTGTAGAGAAATAGGAATGCTTTTACACTGTTGGTGGGAATGTAAGTTAGTTCAACCATTGTGGAAAAGTGTGGCAATTCCTCAAAGATTTAGAACTCAAAATACCATTTGACCCAGTAGCCCCATTGCTGGGCATATACTGAAAAGAATATAAATCATTCTATTATAAATATACATGTATACATATATATTAATTGCAGCACTATTCCCAATAACAAAGATATGGAATGAACCCAAATGCCCATCAGTGATAAACTGGACTTAAAAAATGTGGTACATATACACCATGGAATACTATGCAGCCATAAAAAGGAATGAGAGCATGTCCTTTTCGGGGTCATGGATGGAACTGGAAGCCATGATCCTCAGCTAACTGATGCAGGAACAGAAAACCAAACATCACATGTTCCCACTTATAAGTGGGAGCTGGACAATGAGAACACATGGACACAGGGAGGGGAACAACCCACACTGGGGCCTGTCAGGGAGGCAAAGGGAAGGAAAGCATCAGGAAAAATAGCTAATGCATGCTGGACTTAATACTAGGTGATGGATTGATAGGTGCAGCAAATCACCATGGCACACATTTACCTGTATAACAAACCTGCACATCCGGTACCTGTACCCTGAAACTTAGACAAAAATACAAAATCAAAAAAGTAAAAAAAGTAAAACCTTACCTTTTTAAAATAAGGCTAGAGTGAGTAAAATTATTTCATCCAGTAATATTTCATTCCTGTAACAGTAAACCATAGAGTTTCCTCTATCTTTAAATAATTTTCTTCTGAAACAGGGGTCAACAAACTAATCCAGTCGACCACCTGTTTCTGTAAATAAAGTTTGATTGGCACACAGCATGCCCCCCTCCAAAAAAGAAAATCTGAACATACTATTTTAAAAGAGAAAGAATTTTTAATAAAAAAACGTGGACCATCAATGCCTTTCTATAAGCAGTATAATTCTGCTAAAAAGAATAAAAGTAGTGCTGAAATACAGTTAATTATAGAACCACAAGGAATAAAATCATGCATTTCTTATATACTCTATAACTAGAGGTTACATTGAGTTAGAGTCTACACAATTTTAAATTATGTCTTTAATTTTTTAGCTTTTATGGATTTAGGGGTACGAGTGCAGTTGTATTACATGGATATATGTGCAATGGTGGGCTTTAGTGCACCACCACCCAAATAATGTACAGTATACCCAGTAGGTAGCATTTCATCCCTCATCCCTCCTTCAACAGTCCCACATTCTGGAGTCTTCAATGTCTATTATTCCACTCTATATGTCCATGTTACCCAAGAAAAATAGGTTTTGGCTATTAACAGAAATCTATAGAATTTTTATCACGTTCCTTTTTTCTTGTTTTAGATAGATCTCTTAATTATTGTAATTATTTGCTACAAACATTTTTAAATAAAAAGTATACTTGAGCCAAATGTTATGAATTTTTTACCCTATTACCAAACATATTACTTCATGTGTTTATCAAGATCTTCAAGCAAAAGAACAATGTAAATATTTAAATAAATAAGTTGCATACCTCTATGCTTTTAATCCTATTTTCAGTGATACCTGAAACTCCAGTATGAACCAAAGTTGTTTTAATTTCTTTTTCCAGAGCTTGTATCTCATCCCACTTATTGAGTATTTCACATCTCTTCTTTTCAACCTTCTCAATAAGAGTAAGTTGGTTCTCATCAATTATATGTTTCTTAGATGATTCTGGAAATATTTTTAAAACAAAGTATTACCATCATTAATATCTCAGTTATTAATAGCATTTATGTAGTATTAACAATATTATCTATACTATGGTATATATAACCATAAAGTATCATATAATTCAAACTTGAAGCGTGTCAATAAAAATAATCTGACCCAAGAATGAGGGTATTCCTCCTTTAATTCATTCAGCTAATCAATATGTATTTGTTGAACACATGCACTGAACTAGGTAGAAAGGTTCAATGATGAATTAGCCTTTTTCCGGGTGTGTGATTAACAGTGTAAACCAACAAGAAACCACAAGAAAGTGACAATATGGTGGCACAGTAGAAGATGCAATGGTATGACAAAGCAAGGACATCGGACACAGTGTGAAGAAGGCTCAAGGATGACTTTGACAGAGAAGTGGCAATGGTGGAAACCCCTGATAAGACCATCAGATCTTGTGAGATTTATTCAGTACCACCAGAACAGTACGGGGGAAACCACCCTCATGATTCAATTATCTCCTACTGGGTCCCTCCCACAACACATGAGAATTATGGGAGCTACAATTAAAGATGAGATTTGGGTGGGGACACAGAGCCAAACCGTATCAGGATAGCACTCCCAGCATGAAGAGAAGTGAAAAAATCCAAAAACGATTTAGGAAATAAAAAAGAAAAAATAGACCGTAGTAATTAACTAGATCTGGCAATGTAAAGAAGAAGGCAATGTCAAAAATAAGCCATAGGTTTTAGCTCAGTTGTAGCTAGAAAGAAAACAATGAGTTCAATGAAGCATGGAGGTAAGAAAGAACTTGTTTCAATCCCAACTTGGCCACTTATTCCAAGCTGTGTAGGGAGAGGTTGAGGGGTAGTACAATGAAAGTTGCCTAGCACATGTTTTATGACCCGCATCTCCATGTATTTGGTGATACCATCCACTGAAATAGCCAGGGAGATGCCAAGTTAGAGAAGGAGATGATGAGTTTAATCTCTGACATGTTGAGATACCTATGAAACACACAAGAAAAAAAAAATAAATGAAGGGTTTTTAGTAGAAAAAATAGATTTGGAATTTTTTAAAATGCCAATTCTTCCAAAGAGATGCTGGACTCCAAAAAATATCAACATTTAAAGAGGATAAAAAGGAAATGGAGTTGTCAAGTGATCCACCACCAAGGCCAATTTGTCATCAATCAGCAGAGTTATATACTGAATGGAGTGGTGAGACTTAATTTTTTTGAGAATAAACAATTACTACTTTTCAATGGGAATAAAGCAGTCAGAAATATTAATAACCCTTACTTGTAGATAGGAAACAAGATGGAAGTCATGCTGTCATTCAACTTTGCCAAATTTGGAAGAAGGAAAATCTTTGATATTAAATTTGGAAATTTGGGGGGATTAGTTAAGTAGACACATGATGAGCTAGCTAAGGGGATAGAAATGGTCATAGTTAAGCTCTACACAAACTGAGAGAAACTACCACAGAGTGTTTGGTCCCCACCTTAATCTAAACTGAAGGTTTCAGCCTAAAACCATCAGGTGAGGTCAAAGAGGCCAAAAGCGGTGTCCAGCCAGGCGAGTGACCTCCACACTCACCCCTTTTCTAAAAACCCTCAAGAAATAGGTATGAAAATGGGGACATTCCACAGCAAACGTGTATGATTAGAAGAGCAGGCTTCTGAGACAGAAGGCTTTGGGAAAAGATAAAGCGGGAAGAACCAGGGTCACCAGGTTTGTTCCATTGCAGTCAGAGTGATGGGAATAGTGGGCTAGGATCAAACATGAAGAAAGGTTACTAGAGCTCTAGAAAGTTAGTCACTGCATCTTATTTTTATTCACCATTACCATTTTTCTTATTAGTGGCCAGCAGTAAAGGTTTTAAGTGTCTGCTTTTTTTGGTTTTTGATTTTATTTTTAAATCTTGGGCCTGTTTTAAGAGAAAGCAAGAAAACAGAAAACACCAAGCGTGGGTCCTATTCCACAGCCTGCCTGTGAGAGGAACCCTACAAAGAACGAACGACATGGTGGATGAAGGGAGAAAACAGGAGACCTTTGAGCCCTGAGAAGGGGAGGATGGAAGGAGAAGCTGAGTCAGCCTGGGACAGAGAGTGGGCGTGGCAAGAGGATGCAAATCTGGCCGCAAGAAACCCGTGCAAGAACATCCAGCAGGGTTAACACCATCCGTGCTGCTCGGAGGTAGAAAAGAGGAAGCAGGCGGAAACGGGAAAAGGCAGTAAAAGCATTCGCACAAGGTCCTTTGAGGCCAAGCTCTACTAAGAACTTAAAACAGGCTGGGCCTGTGAGCATATCCTACAAGACACTGAGAAAAAATATCTAAAAGTAGAGTATGAGTGAGTGTTTAACAAACTCAGAGGGAAAACGGCATTTCACTTCACAGTTGGAAAATAGTCAAGGTTAATGAGCAATATACTTAAACTTACTTTTATCTTTTAATTGCATTCCAATTGTATACATTTAAAGTAATTTTAATATCTATTTCATGCATAAATATTCATAAAACATAATTAATTCCCCATGAAATGCATATTCTTCCTCACAATTAATAATAAAAAGATGAACAACAAACAGGCAGTGACCACCACATGCCAGGCCCGGTGCTCTTGGGTGATGTGGGTGAACATGTTGAATTCTCGCCACAAAACTCAGAAGGAGCTCCAGAATGGCTCAGTTGACAGACAGGCAGCCAAGGCTGCAGCAGCTGAAATAATGAAGGTCACAGCAAAGCACCCATCGGCAGGACATCACATAGACACTCGCCTGATCGTTTCTTTGCAGACTGCAGCAATGCCCGCTCTATCGCCAGTTCACTCCTGAGTCTACAATGTGATGATAAAAAAATAGGGAAATATTAGATCCCCTTTAATCTTTTTTCTTTTGTCTATGTTACACCTCAAGTCTTTTATAGTTGAGAAATTAAAATAAATCTGCTTAATGTTCTAACACAGCAGGTACTCTGAAGATATTTATTAAATGACAGCCTAAATCAGCCAAGTTAAACAAACAAGATAACACCTTCTTACAAAGATTGCATAAGCCATTAAAGAGTTAGTTAATTTAAAGTAAATGATTTCCTAGAGAGTTTATTTGTATTTTTTGTTCATGGAATTGCTAAGAAGGAAGAAGGCAAAACACAAACAAACAAAAAGCAAACCCAGCTTTTTACGCTTAAAGGCAAACAACATGTCAAGGGCTATGGAAAGACCTCCCCGATGCTAGAATACACTGCATCTTTGCTGTGTATTATCATTCTATGCAACAGATACAATTTACAAATTTCACAATGTTTGAATTAAAAATAAAATACAAGAAACTTTTTAAAAAAGGGAAAAAACTTCTTTGTTTCCTTTGCTTGGTTCAGAATAACCTAAATCAACTATCTTATGTTTTATAGATTTAAGGAGAAGACAAAAAGGAGTCTAATAGGTATTACATATATTGAGGACAACACTGTGATTTGATCTAAGACACCAACATGCAAATAAGTTAATGCCAAATATCTACAAAGGGCCTAACCGTTTAAGATTTTTACACACATTAGTTCATTTCATTGAAGATTAAGAGAGAAACATGGTGGTATTATGATCCTCAATTTTAAGGAACTGGAGCCAGGCATGGTGACTCATGCCTGTAATCCCAGCACTTTGAAGAGCCAAGGCAGGTGGATCCCTTGAGCCCAGGAGATGGAGACCAGCTTGGGCAACCTGGTGAAACCCCATCTCTAAAATAATACAAAAATTAGTCAAATGTGGTGCCTGTGGTCTCAGCTACTTGGGAGACTGAAGTGGAAGGATCCCTTGAGCCTGAGAGGTTGAAGCTGCAGTGAGCCATGATCATGCCAGTACACTCCAGCCTGGGCAACAGAGCAAGACCCTGTCTCAAAGAAAAAAAAATTAATAAACTGGGAATTCGATGGATTAACGATAATGATAAAAGACTTTTCAATATGTATAAATATTCCAGAAAATTTTTACACATTGTAGTAGTTTTAAATATTACTTATGTTTGTGTTCTATTGCTTTGTTTTTCTTCTTTGGGGACTTTAATTAAATGTGAACTGGACACTATTTGCTTATCTTCTATTTCACCTACTTTCTCTTACTCTTTTGATTTCTTTATCTTATTTACAGTCTTTTAAATATTTTCCCACTTTTTCTCAATGCTCCTTATTATATTTTCATTCAAAACTATTCTTCCTTGGGCATTTCAGAATTTAGTTTTGACATATGATATAATTTTTACTTTTTCAAATATTTTTTCCTCTGTTGTTATCTTGTTTTATTGTTGCTGATTTCTCTGCTTAGTTTTTAAATTTATGACTGAAGATTGTTTTCGCATCCTGAAATGCTCTTTTGGGAACATCTAATTTAGCTTGGAGTGCTGTGCTACAGGTTTCTTCTTCAACTTTATTATTATTATTATTATTATTTATTTTATTTTTTTTTTGAGGCATGAGGCATTTTATTGGACCTTCAGCGACTGGTTGCAGGGAGGCGTCTGCCTCATCTGGTGTGGGGCTCTGCAGATGAGACCATCTCAGGCCAAGTTCTTGTAGCCCAGGAACACAAGACTGGTTTAAGCTCCCAGGGCTTTGTATGAAAAAGGTGTAGTACCTGGCCATTTTTGCCAGTGATCAATAAAATAACCATCAAAAAAATTAAAAGTCTCTGTTCTGACCACTCTTCAGGTCTTGCTGAAATGGAAAAGTGCAAAGCAGCTGAAGTACATATGCAGTTTGTCTTAGCCTCAAATAGTGCCAGTCCCACTTCCTTTCCTCTGATAGTTTGCTTAGTTCAGCAGATGCAGAGGGGCTGGCCTGTTCTCCTTTTGATTTCCTCCACAAGGTCTTCTCTTCGGATGTCCACCTCTTCCCTGCTAGTCACTGAACGGAGCTTGATGACCCCATCCTTGAGTTCCTGCTCGCCGATGATAGCCACCAGTGGGATGCCTGCCTCCTCACAGTACTGTAACTGGTTCAGTAGTTTTGGGTTCTTCCTGTACAGCAGCTCAGCCTTGATCCCAGCATCCCACAGTTCTGAGACAAGCTTTAGTCTCTCTTCTAGCAGCTTCTTCTGTGCAGATGCCACAAGCACCTGTGTCTCCGTGGTCCGTACCTTCTCCAAAGCCTCCAGTCTCTGTTCCACGATGGAGAAAATCCGCTCCACTCCAATGCTGAGTCCCACACATGGCACCTTGCGTCCTTTGGGGTCAAACATGCCCACTAGCCCATCATAGCGCCCTCCAGCAGCCACACTGCCCACACCCAGGGGCTCTTCCCCTGCCTGGGCTGGGGACTGTAGCAGCACTGCCTCATAGATCACCCCAGTGTAGTAATCCAGCCCTCGAGCAAGGCTCAGGTCAAAGGAGATTTTGTCATCAATGCCAAATAGGGTCAGGTACTCAAAGAGCAGCTTCAGGCCTCTCAGGCCCTCCAAGGCCTGCTTGTTTTGGGATAGTTTAGGATCCTGGAGCAGCTGTTCCACCAGGGATACGCCACCATGCTGCTGGACATAGTCCCCAATGCGGTCAGCCACCTCGGGTGCGAGGCCCTTCTCTCCTACCATCTCATTCTTCACTTCTTCCCAGGACACCTTGTCCAACTTGTCTACTGAGGAGCAGATGGTACGGAACTTGCTGTCAGGAACACCACAGATGGCAAACATCCCATCTAGGATGCGCCGATCATTTACCTTGACCAGGAAGTTGCCTATCTGAAGTGAACTCAGTATCTCGCACATGATCTTCAGGCACTCTGCATCAGGGATCATGGGATCAAAGTTTCCAGCAATGTCAAAATCACACTGGTAGAATTCCCGGTATCGGCCGCGGGTCATGGCTGGGTTATCCCGCCGATATACCTTTGCTATGTGGTAGCGTTTAATGTTGTTCAGTTTATTCATTGCCAAATACCGAGCAAAAGGAACAGTGAGGTCATAGCGAAGGGACAGCAGCTCTCCGCCCTGGTCTTTCAGGTCATAGATAAGCTTGGAGTCTTCCCCATACTTTCCCGTCAGTGTTTCCTTTAGTTCAAATACAGGTGTGTCAATGACTTCTGCACCATGACGCTTGAAGCAACGGATGATTACATCAAACACCTTCTCACGAACTGCCATCTGCCGGGGACTGTAGTCTCTTGTGCCCTTGGGGGTTTTGAGCACAAACTTCTGTTTGCTTTCATCAGGACCCAGCTGTGCCTTCAGTTTCAGCAGTTTTGCCACCTCCTCCTCGATCAGCTCGGCGCTGGCTTTCTGCTGCTTGAGGCCTCGCACGCGCTCTCCCTGAAGTTTCACCAGCTCCTCCAGTGCCGCACGCTCCGCCATCCCGTCTGCCCACTTGAGCCGACTGCTGCCTAGACCTGCTGTGGCTGTCTCCTTCAACTTTATTATTATTATTCCTTGGTATGGCACGGACTTTCATCAGGTAAATCATTTGGATTCTCATTTTCTGTTCTATTCTGAGTAGTTCGTATAGGCAAAGATTATTTACATCTCTGCATTTTTGCAGGCTGGACTAGTGATTGCGAGTAGCATGTGAGATTGCTAACTCAAATGGATACTTTTCCATCAGTGTAGCAAATTATGCTATTTTATCATTGATTTGTTGTTTTTTGGTGTTTTTTTTTATTTGTTTTGATAGTCCTGGATTGTTTTCTTGTTTAGAAGAGAGAAGGGCAGAATGTGGAAGGGCTGTGTGCACCTTGATTTTTTTCTTTTTACAGGATTCTCATTTTCCTTTCTTGCTCTCTTTTGCCTTCATTGGACATTTCTAAAGGATGCCGCTACCTTTCCTTTAACCCCTTTCTCACTTGCATCATTACTATTTCAAAGTTGTTTTCTCACTTCCACACTGTTCCAAGTAACCCTGCTCCGCCCCACCCCAGCCGTCACAGTCAGTGCTGCCATCAGCCCCACAGCACAGCTATGTGGCTTCCTCGCTTACACTGATTCTCTCTCTGGAAGTGGTTTTAGAACAATTTTAGGCTTCCTTCCAGCTCCCCTGTTCTCTCTTTCACGAACTTTTCCCAAAACCTCAGTGCTCTCACAAACAAAGCTTTGCAGCAGGGATGTGGAAACTGGTTAGCTGCCACTAAATGTTTTCTTTTCTATTTTCAGTCATTTATAAACTTTGGATGCGTTTGCAATGAATTCCTTTTTTATTTTTTGCCTTGGCATTCACTTTGAATAGAAGTTTAACTTTCTCACTCCAGAAGCAGGGCTCAGTCACCCTTGCTTGACACAGTTTCTAGTCCTTCTCCTCCCCGCAGTGCCTCAAAATGGTCAGCCCAGATATCTGCCATAAACAACCACCTCCCAGTGACCACCCGCTATGAGCCAGCCAAATACAACCTACTTTCCTCCACCCACTGACCCCTCACCCCACACCCTGCATGGGCCATGAGCATATGTTACAGTGACCCAGCAACCACTTCTAGACACAGCGCGACCCCACAGCACTTGTGCCTTCTTGCCCTAAATCCACTGATCAGAACTCCCCATGGAAAACCTGCTTGGGTCATGCTCTGGACCCAAACAAGGCCTTGGTCCATTGGTTCTCACTCTCTCTTGCTCTCCTACCTGCCGGTGGAGACAGTGTGTTTCAGGCGGTTCTCCCTTCCTACCACCGCTGCGAGGTATGCTGCCCTCTTTTCTCTGGGATCTGTAAGTGACAAATCTGCCATTTCGTGTGCTTTTTTCCGTGGCCTCCTCTGTCCCTCACCTGACAGGCACACTTGAACCTCACCTTTTCCAGCTAGGGCTTTCCCAGAGACTGGCTGTCTTTGTAGGAATAAACTAGACAACACACCAGACAATGGCCACAAGGGCTTCTGCCAGTGTAGTCGGGTTTCTTGTGAGAGAGACATCTGGTCACAGGTCAGACACTTAGGCATTAAGCCTGAGGGCCAGATGAAAACACATCCCATGAAGGGCATCCTCCACCAGCCTCCCGAAGCCCTTTCAGGTCAGGGCTAGAGTTCATAGCCACCCTTGTGAGAGAGACCTCAAGACCACATTGGAGGGCAGGTGCAGTAGTTCATGCCTGTAATCCCAGCACTTTATGAGGCTGAGATGAGTGGATCACTTGAGGTCAGAAGTTCAAGAGCAGCCTGACCAACATGTTGAAACCCCATCTGCACTAAAAATACAAAAATTAGCTGGCCGTGGTGGCACACACCTGTAATCCCAGGTATTCGGGAGGCTGAGGCAGGGGATTCATTTGCATCTGGGAGATGGAGGTTGCAATGAACTTAGATCACCCCCCTGCACTCCAGCCTGGGTGACAGATCAAGGCTCCATCACAAAAAAAAAAAAAAAAAAAAAAAAAAAGCCAAACCGGAGCAAAATACAAAGCTCTCTGTCTTCCAGTTACACTGAAGGCAAATTTTGTTTTTGGTTTTGTTTCTTGTTTTGCTGTATTGAAGATATTTTAGATGTTGCAGTTTTCCTTTAATCTCTTTTTAAAAATCATACAAACAATATGTCCTATCCAATTGTGATTTGATCCTGGAAAAAAATGCAGGGAGGTTATATTAGAAGAGCTTTGTAAGTTAAAAAACCAGTAAGACCATTGAAAGGTGTTTTAGATATGTAGCTCTCTCCCCTGTTGGTAAGTCTTCAGGGGACCACCAAAAAAGACAGGAAATTCCTTCAGAAACTTCCCCAAACTCTCCCCACAGAAACACCATCCTTGGCAGAATATCCTAGTCACATGCCTGTGCAAGTGGCCAGACCAGGAAACAATGTAACGATAGGCTTGTCACAACGCTTTAAGATTTTATTACAGAATAATCTAAACGTAGATCAGATCCACCACTCATGCCTCACCTGTCATTGCGCTCCAGGGCTGCTTTTATGGCTTTCACGAGCATCCTCAGCTCTTCCCTGGCAAGATCCACGTCTGCTGTCTTCACTGGCCTCTGCTCCAGCCCCTTGAGTTGAGCCAGAAGAGCCTAGGCAGGACCAGGCACGTGAGGTGAGACAAGCACATGGGGAGGAGGGGAGGACTCCCTTTTTTATTTGTCATTAATGCGTTTTCAGGGTGCCCTGGGTTAACGTATACATTCTAGTTAAAATAGGTAAACTGGGAGGATTGAAGGGAGGGATGGCCGTTGGGGGAGGGATGGCCTATTGGTGACGTTCCCAGTAAAATACGTTTATCCGTATGTTAAGAGTTAATTTTTCTAAGAAATGGAAAGATGGTAGTGAACTCCCCTGTGGCCTGTGTGGGGGGAAGGACACTCTGGGTGAAGTCCTGGAGGCACATTGTCAGTGGCACTGCAATCGTTTCTTCTACAGGAATAAGAAGCCAAGTGAATGCGATTGCCATCCGCAGATGTAAAGCAGTGCTGTGCTCACATGGGAAGCCACAGAGATCTCGGCCTCGTCAGAGGATGGGCTGTTAGGGTCACAGACACAGAAAGAGGCATCCAGGGCCCTGCTGGTCTGGGAATCTCTTCATGCTCATGTTTGACCGAGATAGGGACGTATGTCACTTTCTCACTCAACCTCACAACCTAAGGAGCAAGGTAGATTCCCCACTGGAAACTTCGCTCACATTCTTGTAAAGACAAAGGCTGCGTCTGTGTTATGGAAAGGCTCGGCACAAAGAAAACGGTGCTCACGTCTGATTTTAGATGAAGGAGCGAACCAGAACTCATCTCCTCGTAATGCTGTGATTTGCTTTTTCATATACAAAAGAAGCAACTGTCTTTCCTAATTTATGAAGTAAAATTAATCTTTAAAGTTTATTGAATTCAAAATGCCAAAGTTATCTTTGCTACAGTGTTCAATTTTCTTAGGTTTTATAAGTGATAAACTTATCCCTGCAGTGCATTTTCTTATTCGACCAATCACATGTTTAACCCAGCCCTTGAGAGAATACCTGGAACGCTGTCACCCATTAAAAGAAGAGATCATGGGGTTTTGAGCCGGCTTCTAGCACACTAGCCATTACAATGCATTCTCAGTGTTTTCACCAGGGTGAGGACTGGACAATGGTTTTTGGTACTTACTGGCAGAGAACCATTTATATTCCCAATTTATACATATATAGTTATGTCGCTTCTTTGGGAGTATAAAGAATGCTATGTCAATCCAAAGTGAAGTTCTTTATCAATAATGTTCTAAAGGCAATATAAGCTCACTTATAATAAAAAAAAATCAGCTATTCTAAATTATGGGGCACACATGGGGCTTGTGGGATTCAGGAAGATTTCCACTGCTCGTGAAATATGAAGCCATGAATAAGGAGGCTCCATTCAGACTCTTCACAATTGATTGTCACCTCGTACTGTGCTGGGCGCTGGGACTCCAGGAGCGTCGCCATGTAGAGTTCGTATTCATCCTGTACAGAAACAAACAAAAAGTCCACTGGCCATGCGTGGGGAGGCCACAGTGCAAGCGTTTCGTGTGTATAAATAATACAGAAGTTAAGAATGTTAATTTACATCATTTCAAAAAAATGTAAAATGTTCCTACAATGCATTAAACGGTATACCTGTTCTCAACTATAAAATCACACCATCTTTGAAGCATATTTGAGCATTAAGTATTAATTACCCCAGAATATCATAAAATATTATACAACAAAATATAAAGTATTGATCACTTCAGAATGTCATAAAACACCTTGACACACATACAACAAATGATCTCCCACCATGCAGAAGGTCTGTGGAATCCAGTCCTACCGGCCTGCCAGGATGAGCCTCCAGGTGATGAGGCATCACTGGAGAACAGGCCACCAGGTCTCTGCTGTTAGGCATTCCTTGTCATTAGTAAAATTAAAGAATAGCGTAATCTTTAAGCAAGATGATCTCAACTCAGATTCTATATGAAGGTCACTTTCTTTTTTTTTTATTTGCAGCCTCTACCTCCTGGGTTCAGGCAATTCTCCTGCCTCAGCCTCTGAGTAGCTGGGATTACAGGCACGCACCACCATGCCTGGCTAATTTTTGTATTTTTAGTAGAGATGGGGTTTCACCATGTTGGCCAGGCTGATCTTGAACAGCTGACCTCAAGTGATCCACCTGCCTCAACCTCTCAAAGTGCTGGGATTACAGGCGTGAGCCACTGCACCCAAAGGTCACTTTCATAATGAAATTGCAACAAACCTGTAATTCCATAAGGATTTATATAAAATTACACATGTAATGTTAAAATAACTAATTATTAATTTATTTGAATTATAATAATTTAAAATAAAAAGTTTGTCACTTATGTATAATTTATAAAAGGTTGTGTATAATCAGGGAGTTTTAGTCGGAAAATATGGGCTTAAGAAGTGAGCTAACTGTGTCAATTCCACATGGCCCCTATACAATTTATGTGCCTGCAAGCAGATGACCCCGAGTCTCTGTGAATGACGGTCCCCATCTGTAGAAGGGGGCCCGTGATAGCTAGCAGAATTTCTGTGAGGCTTGAGATCATTCATGTACACGGAACCTCATGCAAGCTTCTCAATTGTTACACTGAAGATATGTGTTTCTCACCTTAACTTCTTTCAAGAGATCACCAAATACCAAAGAACTCTTACAAATATCTTCAAAGACTTTTCCAAAGACGTACAGTCTGTTGAACTGCTGAGGGCTGCATGTGCAAATTTTCTGGAGCTCCTGGAGGAAAAACAGAGTCAGCCCATTTTAGGACAGCTTCATTTTTCTTCCAGAACCGAGTTTCTCAGGCGTCAGGGAAGACACAGCGGCCATCACCCTGGTGACTGGGCAGGGTGACACAGGGGGGCACACCCAGGAGTTCTGATCCCTCCCACCAGCTGCTGAGCTTCTTTGCTTCCCTGTCACCCAACATTTGGGTTTTTCTTTAACTCTTCTTCTTTATTCACTCTCTTCCTCCCTGTCCTCAAGGGTTCAATCTCTGCCTCCCCAGTCCCCCAAGGCCCTTTCTCTCTTCCAACCCTGAGGTCTGCCTGCTTCCTGGGGGACCTGCTATTTCCTTTTCCCTTGTGCATCCTCCCTATTTGGAGGTGGTCAGTCTCCCATCAGCTGTTCTCCTCTGAGTCAGCAGCCCATCCTAGATCTTCCCCTCACACCAGCACCTTCTGTAGGCACATGCTGCCTGGGCATACTTCAGGGCATGACAGTGCCCATCAGCTCTCCGTCTCTCCTCACTGCTCTTCCATGGTCAGGCAGGCAAGCCCTCTCTCAGACTCCTCGGCTGACCTATGAACATCCGATTTACTGTTGCAGCCACATGGCCTCCAATGTGTCTGCGATGGGCCTCCCCCAGCTTACCAGTTCCCAGATGGCTTCCTCCTCCATTTTACCCAATCTGTCCCCATTGAATGTGCTAATGCTTCAGGCATCTGGGGCAGTGCTGCACTTTACCTGGACGTGGCAAGGAAGCCTCAGAGGATGAGCCTGTTGCTGCACCGAGAGCATTGCTCTGAGAACACTGTACGGAGACCACTGCACTGAGAACACTGCACAGAGAGCACTGCACCAACAGCACTGCACAGAGAGCACTGCACTGAGAACACTGCACCGAGAGCACTACACTGAGAACACTACACTGAGAACACTGCACAGAGAGCACTGCACCAACAGCACTGCACAGAGAGCACTACACTGAGAACACTGCACAGAGAGCACTGCACCAACAGCACTGCACAGAGAGCACTACACTGAGAGCATTGCACAGAGAGCACTGCGCTGAGAGCACTGCATTGAGAACACTGCACAGAGCAATGTACTGAGAACACTGCACTGAGAACACTGCACCAAGAACACTGCACAGAGAACATTGCACAGAGAGCACTGCACTGAGAACACTGCATGGAGAGCACTGCACAGAGATCACTGCACTGACAACACTGCACAGAGAGCACTGCACAGAGAGCACTGCACTGACAGCACTGCACTGAGAACACTGCACTGAGAACACTGCACTGAGAACACTG